GCATCCCACCCCAGGGACCGCAGTGCCCACCAGCGGCATCCCACCCCAGGGACCACAGTGCCCGCCAGCAGCATCCCACCCCAGGGACCGCAGTGCCCGCCAGGGGCACCATGTTCGGAGGGACCCTGAGGTGTGTGAATTCACAGCGAGCAGCTAGTGTGCGGGCACATGGAAGCAGCCTGCAGTCCCCCATGTGTCCTGTCACCAGCTCCTGTGCCCCTGCTGTGCTCACCCCACACAAGGCTCTGTCTTCCTGCTGCCTTTTCGACAGTTGGGCCACGTCTGTAAACAGTGGACGGCCATCTGGAAGGCTCCTTAATGACATTTATAGATGTTTCACTGGAAAATAGGCCAACTTTGAGTTGATAATACAGCAGTTCAAAAACAGTGACATAATCCTCTGTTATGTACACAGCAAGTATTTGCTTGTTTGTTTTTAATATGTCTTTATTGATTTCAGAGAGAGGGAGAGAGAGAGAGAGAGAGAAACATCAATGATGACTGATCGGCTGCCTCCTGCACGCCCCCCACTGGGAATCGAGCCCACAACCCAGCATGTGCCCTGACCGGGAATCGAACCCCGATCTCCTGGATCCTCGGTTGATGCTCAACCTCTGAGCCACGCCCAACCGGGCTATACTTTTTATATTGGGCAAGTTACTTTTGTAATAAAACAATGTTTAACGTTTTACTCGTTACTAAGCCGCAGTCTCTGTGTTTCAGATTTCTTCCATCCCTTGCTGGCAGTTCATTGGCTGGATCAGCCACTTGGTGGCCTTACTGGACAAAGAGGAAGCGGTGGCCGTCCAGCACACCGTGGAGGAGATCGCCGACCACTACCCGCAGGCGATCGTCTACCCGTTTATCATTAGCAGTGAAAGCTATTCCTTCAAAGACACTGCCACTGGTCGGAAGAATAAGGAGTTTGTGGCAAGGTGATATTGCAGGGAAATTAGGTTGATTTCTACGGTAGTTAAATACTGCAGTTTATAAAAAATGTGTATGGTAAAAGCAAACACGTGGAAGCTTAGGTTTGTCTTCAAGTTAATCAGAGCTTTCACCGGAGCACAGAAGATCTTAGATATCTTTGTTAAATGTATCTACCCTGGGTGTGTGATTTGTTGTAGAATTTCTTTCCTTTTTAAATTACATTTCATCTTAGAATGTTATTCATGAGATGTTCTGCCCTTATGCGAATAGCAACCTGTTGGTTAGAACAGGCTGGATGAAATGCTTTTTGAAGTCGGCTCTTGAGAAATTCTTCTTTAATTGAAAATATGCAGGGAGCCCCTCTTCTTAATTAGGGTTCAGTAGGCTGCCTGAGGCGCCACTCCTCTCATTTCTCCAGTTGATGAACGTGGAGACAGAACCGGCAGTGGCGTCTTACTTTGCAACAATACTTGATAAATGCGAGGTGTCCTAGCGGGCATTCTGTCAGAAGCTGTGTTGTTGTTGTTATGAGCTGATTTGCTGTATTATTTAGTGTTTTGTTTCTGAGAAGACAACAAAGGCTTGGGCCCAGCCGTTGTCACGGCCTGTCAGCCGGGTCCACTGCAGCGGGATCAGTTTAAAAGAAAGAAAGGGAACAGTTTTAAAAATGTGTTGAGAAAGTGGCCTTTTCTTTCATACGGTAACTTCAGAACTGTATTTATCAAATCGTATATATCAAAATGTTGACGTTATTTGCGAGGAGATTTGCTTCTGTCTTACCTCCCTGAGAATCACTCTCTGCGGAATGCACTTAGCTGTCCTTTATTCACGGGGGACATGCTCCAGGACCCCCAGCGGATGCCTGCAAGTGCAGAGTGTACCAAACCCTATATGTACTTTGTTTTTTCCTATACAGACATACCAGTGATAAAGTTTAATTTATAAATTAGGCACAGTAAGAGATTGGCAGCAGTAATAGTGGAACAACTATAACATACTGTGATGGACGTTACATGGACGTGGTCTCTCACGGACGTGTTACTGTTCTGCACTCACCTTTCTGGTGGTAACGTGAGATGACACAGTGCCCAAGTGATGAGATAAAGTGGGCTGGGCCTGCTGGGCAGAGACGATTCCCGTCCCAGGTGGGGCAGCACCAGGTTCCATCTCGGCACTGGAATGCCCTGCAGTTTAAAACTCACGAGCGGTTTATCCCTGGATCTCCCCACTTAGTATTTCTGGACCACAATGAACCAGTTAACCGTGGATAACTGGCACCACAGAAACCGTGGATAAGAGGGGATGGCCAGACATACTTTGTCCCTTGTCTAATATGAGATAGAATTTTTAAATTGCTTCTTCCCTAGACTGTAGTTAGTTATGTATAGTTTTATATGTAAGTAAAAATAATTATAATTACCACCTTGGTCTGTGGAAGGTGGTTGATCACCTCACCTTGGTGATTTTTATAGGATTAAACAGAAGTTGGATCAAGGAGGAGAGATTCAAGGTTTCATCGGTGCCCTGGAGCAACTCTCTAATCCCGAGCTGATCTTTAAGGTAATCCTGCGTCTTCTAGCCCAAAAAGCGTAGGCCTTAGGTAAGGCCTACTTACAATCTAGCTTGATTTCTCTCCTTTTTTTAAAAATTTTCCCCCCGCCCAGGACTGGACTGATGACATCAAAGTTGAATTAGCAAAGAACCCTGTAAATAAAAAAACCCTTGAGAAGATGTACGAGAGAATGTATGCGGCCTTGGGGGACCCGCAGGCCCCAGGCATCGGGGCCTTCAGAAGGAAGTTTATTAAGGTATGTGCGCTGGCCGCCTGCTTCATGGTGACAGTCATTGTGAACGTCAGTACCTGTATTTGCTGGTTTGTTAGCAATTCTGGTTTTAAAATATCTGCTGAATTTGTAACCTTCTTTAGGTCTGATGCCTTCTTTGAAGTATCGATGGCATATTTTTAGGTCTTATAGTGGCAAGTGGGGCAGTAGGTAAAATCTTGGGGGTTTTATTCTGTCTGGTTCTTCATGCTCCGATTCCCAGATATGAAGGTTACATGCAGTTTAATTTTTTTCTTAAGTCTCACAGAAGGGGTGAGGATATTTTTCCATTGATTTTTAGAGAGTGGAAGGGATGGGGGAGGGGGAAGAGGGAGGGATTGATGTGAGAGAGACACATGAATTGGTTGCCTCCCACATGCACCCCGATTGGGGGCAGTGATTGGACCTGCAACCCAGGTGCATGCCTTTGACCAGCAGTCGAACCCAAGACCCTCAGTCCACGGGCTGGCGCTCTAACCAGAGTGGCCAGGGCTGACTTCCCCAAGTTTTTAGAGCTTTTATTAAAATCTGTGTCTGGAACCATCCATATTCTTCCTGTCTTTCCAAAGGAGCACAAACCAACCAAAGACAGGCCTCAGGTGCTGTGTTAAGATGCTGAAACATTCAAGGAAAGCAAAACTCTAAGTCATGAAAGCACAGGGAAAACCCTATATAATTAACTGAGTACTTATTTATTATAAACATTCAGAAGACTAGAACCTTTTCCAGAGTTCAAATTTACCTTAAACATTAGTATTTAAGGGAAGTTGTTATTCATTTCAGGCTTTTGGGAAAGAGCTTGATAAGCACTTCGGGAGACATGGTTCCAAGCTACCCGGAATGGGGCTCCGTGGCTTCAGTGACGTTTCCAACACCCTGTTTTTGAAAATGTGCAAAGACTCGAAGGCCCCTGGGAATCTGAAGGAGTGCTCACCCTGGATGAGCGACTTCCGAGTGGAGTTCCTCAGAAATGAGCTGGAGGTTCCTGGTGAGTTCGCCTTTGGAAGTGACGGAGCTACTCTGAGGAGAGCAGTGCTGCAGCTTCTGATTCTAAAATGTTACCAGGATCTTGGTAGTTGTTGTTACTTTAAAGTGTCACCATGTTTTCATCATTAGGAAAATTTATAATTACTTCGAATCAGTGTGCTTTACTCAGTGTCTAATTGGATTTTCGTTTCCTTATATTCCTGATTATGACGAGTGTTCAGATTTCTGTCTAATAATAGCAGTAACATAATTTCTTCTAAAAAATACCCACACTCTGCTTCTGAGTAACTTTTCCTCAGAAACAAAATGCAGGTATAAGTGCAGATCACTCTCAGGAGGCGCTGTGTGCTGGTCCCGTTCATAGTGACGAGATGATGGTGACCTACCTCCCGAGAAAGGATTGTGACATTGAGGGTAAGGGCAGGTTGGTCAGATGTGAACCCAGCATTTTCAAAGACAGTTTTTGTACATTTCATGTTCTTCACCCTGGAATTCACCAGAACCCCCCCAAATAAATGCTTTAATATGGTTACTCATTCCAGTGGATATAAAAACCATTTGGAGAAATACTTTTCTTTGTTATTATTAACAGCTGTGCATCGCAAACAGGCAGTTTGAAGAAAGTCAGCTTGATTCTTGAGAGGACACTGGTGTAGCTCAGCGTGTTTTTCCTGCTGTTTGGAATTCTTGCCTTAGTCAAGTTGAGAAATACGGGGCGGGCAATAGTAGGTCTACAGCTGGCAGCATGCAAACAGTTTATTCTTGTTATTATTTATTAATTACTGTATTACTTATTTATATTACAGCTGTAAGCCTACTTTTAATAGCATTTTTTGAAGTCCGTTTTCTTTAAATGAAAACTTTCAGCAAAAAATTTTTATTAAGTTACATTAGCTTTTTTTTTTAAATTAGATCAATAGCTATTATTTTTTAGAGAGAGAGGAAGGGAAAGGGAGATAGAGAAACATGAATGTGAGAGCAGAACACTGACTGACTGCCTCCCGCACGCCCCCTACTGGGGCTAAGCCCACAGGCCGGGCAGGTGCCCGGGCCGGGATGAGCTGGCGCCTTTCGGGTCCCCGGCCGACGCGCGGCCGCTGGGCAACACCGCCCAGCGCAGCAGCCGTGTTTTCAACGCACAGGGTCCGGTAACAGACTATCTACAGGAGGCTTTTGGTTTTGTCGCAGGTCAGTATGACGGGAAAGGAAAGCCGGTGCCGGAATACCACGCCCGCATCGCGGGGTTTGATGAGCGGGTAGGTGCCCTGTGGGGCCCGGTCGCCCCAGGTGGGTTGTCGTGTGTGGCAGGCGGGTCTTCAGATACGAGAGTATTTTTCCTGCAGTTAACTCCCTGTGTTGTTCTCAGACGTATGTAGTTTTCTGACCCTGTTATTTACTGAATTTCTTAATCTTTCCCGTGCTTTACTATCAGTCCTACTTCAGGACGTAATAAACTTGCAGAATATATGCGATTGGAGCAACTGCGGGAGGTTGTGCGTTGCTTGCTGTGCGGACGCCCTCGTGCGAGCAGGTGCTCCAGCAGGGAAGGGACACCCCGCCGCCCTCGGCCCTCTCCTCTGCCTCACCTGTTTTNACGCCGTGGGCGCGAGAGGGCGGCGTGGCCAGGCGGCAGGGACACCCCGCCGCCCTCGGCCCTCTCCTCTGCCTCACCTGTTTTCAGAGAGATCTCTCCCTGAGCGGCGTGTGCCCGCCCCCCTCGCTTTCCCCGCTTGGTGGCTGGCGGGCTGGCTGCTCCTAAAACGCTTCCTTAACTCTCTCAGGTGAAAACAATGGCTTCTATCAGGAAGCCGAAGCGCATCGTTGTCCGCGGCCATGACGAGAGGGACTACCCTTTCCTCGTGAAGGGGGGCGAGGACCTGCGGCAGGACCAGCGCATCCAGCAGGTCTTCGGGGTCATGAACGGCGTCCTCTCCCGAGACGCCGCCTGCAGCCAGAGACACATGCAGCTGAGGACCTACCGCGTCATACCCATGACCTCCAGGTACCCGCCTGGGCACTGTCGTCCGAGGGTGGACTTACGGGAATGGAAACGTCAGCCCTGGGCCAAGTCCCTGTTTAACGTGGCTGAGGCGGGGTTGGAGGTCGCTTGGCAGGTCGGAGTTTTCGATTTCAGGAAGACAGAGAGCAAACCAGACTAATAAACACTCGTAAGCCTGTGGTTTTCATCTTAATGTGGAGAAAGTAAGTGAGGAATTGACATGAAAGTCTACTCCTTGCCCGGCCAGCGTGGCCCAGTAGCTGAGCACCGACCTGTGGTCCAGGAGGTCGGGGTTCGATTCCCGGTCGGGGCACAGGCCCGGGTTTCAGGCTCGATCCCCAGTCGGGGGCGTGCAGGAGGCAGCCGATCAGTGACTCTCATCATTGATGTTTCTCTCTCTCTCCCCCTCCCTCTGAAATCAATAAAAATACATTTTTTAAATATTCTGCTTTAATTCTACAGAACTTTCTCTCCAGTAAAGAAAGAGCATTTGGGGTTTATATTCACAACCTTTTATTCTGCTTTTACAGATTAGGACTAATCGAATGGATTGAAAATACTTTTACCTTAAAGGACCTTCTTTTAAGCAACATGTCGGAAGAGGAGAGAGCAGCTTATACGAGGTAACGTGGAGTCGGACTGGCTTCGCCTCGCCTGCCCCGCCCGGTGCCCCCCAGCCGGCTGCTGCCTCCCAGACCAACTCTGCTGCCTCTGAGCAGACTTGTTTCCCATCAGTCTCTTCCTCCCCCTGTTTCCAGTCACATTTCAGGGCCCCTTTTCATGGGTGCTCTCGGCCCAGCCAACACAGCGACTGCTTGCCTCCCGCACGTGCCCCAGCCGGGGCCGGGGGTCAAACCCGCAGCCCAGGTACGTGCCCTTGACCAGGAATCCAACCCACGACCCTGCGGTCTGCGGGCTGACGCTCTGGCTACCGAGCCAGCGCGTCCAGGGCCCGCTATCTTTTTGAAACAAGGCACTTCCAACCCCCGTTACTAAAAGTCATCACTATTTTTTTCTTTGCATGTTGCAGTTTTTCAAACTGAGGATTTTCATCCCAGTTGAAACTAGGAGAGAATTTAGTTGAAAACAGAGTTCTGATTACAAAATTAACTTAGTAGCAACTCAAAAAATATTCAACTTAATTGCGCTATTAAGTCGTATGTCGCAAAATTGTTCTATCTTTAGGTATTTTTCAGGAAAACTTGTTAAAGCTTTTGACACAAACCCCAAAGTGGCCAAACATTACAACTATCACATGTTTCCATCTGCCCAGTTACTGCCTTTGCCTGTCAGGTTCTCTCGAAAACAGCTCTTCAAATCCCATTCAGACCCATTGTCCTCTAAGGAAGCACTTTGCTGCCCTTCCTGGGGATCGTGTGTCTGCCTGCTGGGCACCGTGAGAGCCAGTAGGGCCGGGCTTTAGGTGAAGAAACAGACCTCCTCCGTCCTCAGCGAATAACTTGGGGTGGTTTGTCTGAGCGGTGACGTGGCTGTTCCCCACTGTTCCCCACCTGTCGTCCTCTGGTCACAGCCTTTTCTGGGACGAGATTTCTAGACCCATACGCCAAGGTCACAGACACCTTTATTTGGGTCCTCTCCTTCCTCTCTCTATGCAGTGGGAAAATTGTTGTATCCAATTGTTTTGTGCCCGAACTTTTCTTAAGAAATAACTTTGGTTTCTTTAGAAATTGAGAATGAGGAACAATGTGTTGAAATCCTAGATCCAGAGTAGCCTGGCTCAGTGTTAATATTAAACATGCTCAAGGTCGTATTTATTTCGCTTATCTCTTTACCGTTTCTCGGTGACTTCTTGGTGATCTCTGCCTCTGAAATCACATAATTAATGCTGAATACCTTCCTCATGCTGGTTCCCTCTTCCCTGTTTGCTAGTGATCCCGGAGCCCCTCCATTTGAGTATAGAGACTGGCTGACAAGGACGACTGGGAAACAGGACGCCAGCGCCTACATGCTCATGTACAAGTAAGTCTGTTTAGATTTTCCTCTTTATAACTAGTTCATGCTTCTCAAAGTTGCATATATACTTTACTTTTGTTCCTTAGAAAGACTTACCCCAGAGAGATCATCAAAATCTAGTTATTTTATATTTGAGCTGCCGTGTAAATAAAGAATTTTAGATTTCCAGTCACAAGAACAAAGGTTCTAATCAGACCTTTTCTGTTATTAAATCACAGGAGAGCTAGTCGCACTGAAACAGTCACATCTTTCAGAAAAAGAGAGAGCAGAGTGCCGCCCGATCTGTTGAAGTGAGTATGGCTGCCTTACCCACTGGCCGGTGCGTGGCCGAGACCACAGCCTGTGTCCCTCCGCAGGCGAGCCTTCCTGAGGATGAGCACCGGCCCCGAAGCCTTCCTGGCTCTGCGCACCCACTTTGCCACCTCTCACGCTCTGATGTGCATTAGCCACTGGATCCTGGGCATCGGGGACAGGCACCTGAACAACTTCATGGTGAGCGCGGAGACCGGCGGAGTGATCGGGATTGACTTCGGGCACGCGTTCGGGACGGCCACGCAGGTAGGCCCGCCAGGCTCCCTCTGTCCTCGGCTAATCTCGGGGCTTGGCGACACCCTCTGGAGTGGATAGTTCCTAAGGAAGAAACAGCACGTTGGTTGGGTCAGCTTTGTCGGGAACATTACTAAATTCGACATTCTGGTGGAAAGGGATATTCTCAGCTTCATTTCGTCATGGTTCAGACAGGTCGCACAGGTGTGATGGCAAATTATTCCACCAGAGCTGAGAAGAACATGTTCCTGTAGAAAGAGACGACCGTAGGAAGTTCTATGCCTTTTTTGCCCGGCCTGCGTGGCTCAGCAGTTGAGCATCGACTTAGGATCCAGGAGATCACTGTTCGATTCCTGGTCAGGGCCTCGATCCCCAGTTGGGGACGTGCAGGAGGCTGCCGATCAATGACTTTTTCTTCATTTATGTTTCTATCTCTCCCTTCCTCTCTCTGAAATCAATAAAGGCATATATGTGTGTGTGTGTGTGTGTGTGTGTGTGTGTGTGTGTGTTTAATATGTCTTTGTTGATTTTCAGAGAGAGAGAGGGAGAGGGAGAGAGAAACATCAATGAGAGAGTGTCATTGATCGGCTGCCTCCTGCACGTCCCCGGCTGGGGAATCAAGCCCTCAACCTGGGCATGTGCCCTGACCTGGAATCGAACCCACGACCTACTGGATCCTAGGTTGATGCTCAACCACTGAGCCACGCCGGCCGGGCCCCCTGGATGTTTTAAATAGTGCTTCTAAATCTCCGTAGGCTGTGTGGCTCTGTGCGCATGGCGTTTGCATTGCCAGGATGATGCTGTTGATTATTCTTGGGCACACTAGATTCATATCCATATAAAAAGAAGTTTTCCTGTTCTCACTAGATGTGGACAGTGACCACGGGGAGATGGTTTGTGCCTATTCCTCTGAGGTTTCTAGTTACTATATTCTGTTTCTCGCATGGGTTTTTCTCTGTAGTTTCTGCCAGTCCCTGAGCTGATGCCGTTTCGTCTGACTCGCCAGTTTATCAACCTGATGTTACCCATGAGAGAGACAGGTGTCATGTACAGCGTCATGGTGCACAGCCTGAGGGCCTTCCGCGCACAGCCTGACCTGCTGACCACCACCATGGACGTGTTCGTGAAGGAGCCTTCCTTCGACTGGAAGGTGGGGCTGCTTCTAAACTCGGTCACGTTTATCACGGCATCATCGACCTGCCGTCCGCTTTTATACGATGGAAAGGCATCCAGATGTGTTTACTGAAATATTTACATGGTTTTGTAGAGCATTTCTCAAAATTAACATTCGGGATCATTTGGCCTGAAAACCAGATAAGAAACGTAACGTTTATTTGGACAAAACTGTTGTTTCAATTGAGTGTGTTTCTAACTAGAGGAGGAAGGAGGGGCCCGTTGCTGGTGGGCTCGATTTCTCTCGGAGACAACTTTTATTTTAAAACCTGTTCCCCAGGAGGTCTTTCTTGGTCACGAAGATCAGCACCGCTTTCTTGAATCTCAGGGTTCTTTAATGAGCTCAGCACTGGCACCCGCGGAGGGAGCGGCGCCTGCAGCTGCGGGGCCCAGGATCGGCCTCGCCGGTGCGCGCCGCCCTGAGAGCCCGTGTAAGGGGCCGCAGAACCCCGGTTCCTTACGGCCGTCACTCGTCCACCTGTTTGAATTCGGCCCCGTACACTGTTGTCTTTTCCTTTAGAATTTTGAGCAGAAAATGCTGAAAAAGGGAGGATCGTGGATTCAAGAAATAAACGTATCAGAGAGAAACTGGTACCCCCGGCAGAAAGTGTTCTACGCCGCGAGGAAGTTAGCGGGCGCCAACCCGGCAGCTGTTACCTGGTGAGACGCCCTGTGGGAAGCGGACGGGACCCCGGGCGCCGCCGGGACGGCCCCTCGGCGCCGAGAACTCTCCGTCCGGCCTGGGATGTTACCCCACTGCCCCCGCTGTACAGCGAGCGCTCAGCATCGCTCAGAGAGACACCGTTCCACACCCACTGATGACATAGTGCAGCGTGGCCCGGGGCGGTGCGGGGACACGGGGCGGCTCCCGAGCCTTAACCGTGGAGCCGCCGTCGGGCGCGCCCGCTCGGCTGCGCTGTGCACCCGGGAGAAGCGAAGGGGCACGGCAGCCCTCACGTTCTGTTTGTCTACAAACGGAACCTCCTGACCCCCAGGTTATGAGCGCAGACGAGCCCTATAAACGACGAGGGGCAGGCGTGCTAGCTGGGAACGGGGCGACCCGGGGAAGCAGTGGCTGGTTTACGGTTTTGCACCCGTTTATTTTTCCAGTGACGAGCTACGCCTGGGCCATGAGACGGTGCCCGCCTTTGCCGACTACATCGCAGTGGCCCGAGGAAGCAAGGACCACAGCCTTCGTGCCCAAGAAGCGGAGAGGGGACTTTCGGAGGAGGCTCAGGTGAACTGCCTGATTGACCAGGCGACGGACCCCAACATCCTGGGCAGAACGTGGGGAGGCTGGGAGCCCTGGATGTGAGGTCTAGGGGAGCCCGCGGGCGGAAGATAGGAAAGCAAGACCCTGCGCGTCCCCCGAGCCCACTTTCCCGAAGCTCTAAAGAGAAGAAAAGGTCGTGGCGACCGAGGGAATACTGAGGTGAAGGAATGACTGGGCTGCAGGAAGGAGTTAGCTTAGGGCTGTAGCAGGCTTAGTGGGAGGACGAATGTCTGGGCCACGCGCGTGTGCGGTGAGAGGCCTCCCGGGCGCTGTGACTTAGGCGAGCCAGCTGTCCTAATTAATGGAGCGAGTGTGGCCCGGCCGGGGAGGCTCAGCGGCTGAGCATCCGCCTGTGGACCAGGAGGTCACCGTTGGATTCCCAGGCAGGGCGCAGGCCCCTCCTCTAAAACCTCCACACACCTGGGACTGTTCTCAGGTTGGCTTGAGCTTTTTATTACTGTTTCTTTCAAACATTTGTATTTGGAAACTTTTGTATGATTTTGAGAAATGATAATGTTAAGAATATGGAAGATTAAAGTTTTTTCCCAAATTAGTGTATAACTTTTATGCAGTTTCAAAACCAAAATGTTCACCTTATATAAAGTATGTTGTTATGTTACTTGACAAATTTATTCTGTTAACTATAGGGTGAATGCATTGTGGCACTAAACCTTTATGTTCTCAGCAAATAGTCTTTATTCAAAGAAACTTCATCTTTAAGGAAAATAAGCGGTCCTGCATGTGGAAACCCAGTGTACACGCGACCTGGTAAAGATGTTTTGCTGTAGCATAAAAACAACCAAAAAAGCCTCCTGATTCACCACAGTTCTCACTTGACTCCTGATAATGTGGGATATATTCATTAACTAGGCCCCCATATTATGGGAAACTGTTTTCTAATGACTACTTTTTATGTCAATAAAAGTTCATTGTTACCAGATGGCTGTGTGTGAGTCTGATTTCAAAGCTGACTGCTTGGAAATTCCATCAGAAACCATGAGCATGAACAAAAAAGAGACAGTCACAGTGTAGAGCGCTCGCCAGACGCCCAAACAGCTGCTCGGGACAGTGACGTCCTCGGTGCACACGTAGGGCTGCGTGTCTGGCTCGCCCCCGTGGTCCACACTCCAGCCCCGTGACTCTGGCTGAATAAAGGCATTTGATCTGGCTCATAATCAACAGAAGGCCACTTAGCAGAGGGGAAGAGCGCTGGGGGCTTGAGGGGGTAAAAGGGGTCAAATGCATGGCGACCGAGAGAGCAGACTTCCGGCGATAACCATGCAGTGCAGCGTGGTGTCGATAGTGTATCGTAGGGCTGTGCACTGGACAGACAACGTTATTAACCAGCGTCACCCCAATAAATTTAATTGAAAAATATATCTGGTTTGGAAACCAGGAAGACATCTCTACTGATTATAAGGAAATAGGAATAATATTAAGAATTTTTTATTAGAAATTTTGTTATTAAGCACTTTTTAAAGACAGAAGCCACATACACTTTCAGAAATGTGAGCTTAAAGGCAAGCAAAGAATTTTTCCAGAAGTAGGACAGATTGTTCCATTTGCTTCCCGCATCTTGAGATGGAGCAGCGTGCCGGACTTCATTATCGGTGCCCTGTGCCGAGGAGAGGAGACGCCTGAGCGGGGAGAGGCTAGTAAAAATAGTAAGTAAACTCCCCAGTCGGTGTGGCCCCGGGGGTTGAGCATTGACCCATGAAGTTGGGGTCATGACTCGATTCCCGGTCAGGGCACAGGCCCGGGTTGCTGGCTCGGTCCCCAGTAGGGGGCATGCAGGAGGCAGCGGATCAATGACTCATCATTGATGTTTCTGTCTCCTTCCCTCTCTCTGAAATCAATAAAAAAAAATATTTAAAAAATAGTAAACTTAACATGCACTGTGTAATATTGGATTTATTTATATATACATATTCATAGCTATTATTTAAGTTTTGCAAACATAATGGTAATACTTACATTGTAAATAGACTTTAACATTATATTCTGATTGCATATGAAACAAACTTTTGTTTTTTCAACCCCCAAATAATCCGGGAATGTTTATATTAAAAAACTCAACAAAAAAGACTTGAGTGAATCCGTGTTTATGAATACTGATTTAAGTACTTTATCAAACTAAAGCCAAGTCCATCATCAATTCCTTTAAGATCAGGGCGATGCCATAACCACTGTCTCAGCTCTGACGGTGTCTGCACACAGCACACGGGATAAGATGACGGAGGAAGGGTGGTCAAAGAGAAAAATCACTTCGTTGGCCTACAAGACATTTTGAAATAACTTTATTAACAACCAGTAACTTCTGCTAAACTGTGTATTTGTGAACTTCAGAATATTGCCTATGAATGGACGTGAAAGCACAGCTGTCAGGGTTGGACGTTTCTCTGTGAACATTGTAAAACTGGAAAACTTCAGGATTGACCTTTAAAAAGCAAAAGCCACTGGCATGTCGAGGGGGTTGCACTGGATCCTTAGGTGCTTTGGGCGGTGTGGGCATTTCAACAACATGCAACCCGGGCCTGGGCCCTCACCAGGGACTGAAACGGAGACCCCCTGGTTCATGGGTCCACGCTCAACCCCTGAACCACGCCGGCCGGGCAAAAGTCTCTAACCTGGCAGTTGAGAAGAGGGCACTAAAGTCAACAGTTTTCCTCTGGAAGCTTGGTTTTGTTTTGGACAGCACTGCTCAAAACCATTTTCATTGTTCTAGACTGTAATTTGGAGCCCTGGTCTTGCCCCGTAGGAAGCATCCAGAAACGATCCCACGTTAGAACTGAGTTACGGTCACTCCACACTGGGAGTCAGCAGGAAAACACCCGAGGTGCTTTTTCCCATCCTGATAGCGCTTAGCCACGGGGTAGAGCACATTTTAGGCACGTTGAGCTGCTTGAATTTCTAAAGCCTGGTGTGTTTACAGCCCACGTGCACAGTTCAGCTGAGCTCAACCGAGGAATGTCCTCGTAAGCACGGGGGACCCACGGCTTCCAGCCGGAATGCGTCTTACTTGATTCCTTCCTCCTGACAGCCCCACTCGGAACGCCGCAGCCAAGAGAAGGCCCAGCGATGATTTATTTTATTTTTCAGTTACAGTTCACATTCGATGTTATTTTGTATCACTTTCAGGTGTACAGCACAGCGGTTACTCGCAGGCNGAAACAGATTCCTAACAACGAGGAATTTTTAAGAACAACTTGGTATTTATCTTGAATACATTATTAGTGGAGACATTCAAGAAATGACTATGAACAACGGCCACAAAAACTAAAGTTTAAATTGTTTTATTTTTTAAAAAGTCTTTAATTTGCCCTCAAATGTCGCAACAAACCCATTATTGCAGATCTACAATCTCTCCTCTCTTTCTGGAAAAGGAAAGAAAATTCTTTTTATTAAATGGATTTGTTTTTATTAATTTTATTTTTCAGTTACAGTTCACATTCGATGTTATTTTGTATCACTTTCAGGTGTACAGCACAGCGGTTACTCGCAGGCTTTACCAAGTGTTCTCTCCCGCTGCTACTCTCCGGCCGCCGGGCGGTCACTCGAGGGTTTTTCTTCCATCGGTTTTTAGGGAGTGGAAGGGGGCAGGGAAGCGTCCACGCGGGAGAGACGCCAAGTGGGTGCCTCCCGCGGAGAACCCGAGACCCTTCCGTCCGCAGCCCGGGGCTCTAACCGCTGAGGCCCCGGCCAGGGCAGGGTGGCTGCCCCCACCCCCCGTTTTACCCCCAACAGGTCATAACAGCACCGCAGCTGTCCCTGCGCCCCTCGGCCCAGTCCCGCAGCAGCGCGCGCTCCTTCTGGAAAGACGGGCGCGCGGCGCAGGGTCTGGAAATCAGCCCGGGGCCGGGGCATCCGCGCTGCTGCGCCTCGGGAACCGAGGGCCAGGGACCGGGGCCTGAGGCAGGACGAGGGGGCGGGAGGGGGCCCTGGTTCGAGCGGCGGCCGCGCTTTAG